TCCCGGGTCTTCACAATGAGTCAGGGGCAAAGCTGGGACTGTAGTTGGGCTCAACACCCTCCCATGGGAATTCCTCTTTTTGTGTTTTGTTTTTTTTTACTTTTACAAACAAAACCAGAACAAAACGAAGGGAAACTGAAGGAAAACACATGCACACACAAAGGAAGCTCACATTGGTGGGCCAGCATGGTTGCAGGCATTTTATGTAAACATTCCCATTTAATTCCCACCACAACCCTGCAAGAAGTCATTATTCCCCTTTTAAGGACAAAGGAACTCAGTTGAAGAGATTTCAGAACTTGGTCAAGAACTCAAAGCTAGGCAGAAGAGGAACCAAACATCTCATCCAGGTTTACCTGACCCCAAGTCCTTGCGATGTCAATCCTCCTCCCAGTCCTGACTGTTTTATCTATCAGTCCAAGTTTCATAGAGCTGTGATCACAGTGCAGCTCCCAGTGGGAAGGCCCTTGTTGGTGTCCCACATAGGCAGTCACTCAAGCTTCCCTGATGTGTCCCAAGATGGGCAGTCCCTAGCATACATAGCTCCTCAGTTCTTTACAGATCACATAGCTGTGCCCAAAAGGTCACATTCAGCAAGTGGCTGGCAAAGACCTTGGTTTCCTGCTTCCTCATATCAAAACCATGTGACTCTCAGCTCCTACTATAGCCCTGGGACTGGCTGTCCCTCACCCCCACCCAAGCTGTAACACTCCCTGGCACCAGCTGACCAGATAATTCCCTGTCCCAGTGCCTGCCTCTCAGGGACCTACTTCTGGCCTTAGACCCCATACTACCACCAGGTGGAATCTGGGTCCCTATGACTCTCCTGACCCTGCATGTTCTGGATTCATGGCTATGACCTTTGGTCCATGTGTTGGGATTGGGAGTTCCTGGAGTGCAGGACCTGGGTCTTACCCCAGAGACCTGCTTATGACTGAGCCCAGAAGAAGGGACTTGTTGAGTGATGCTAGATAGAATCCAAGGTCTAGTTCTGCCACAAAATCACTTTGTGTTCTAGGGAGTCGCTGCCCTCTTCTGCTGGTCACTGATCTTGAAACCTCTTTGAGTGGGCTGTGATTCTCTGTCTTGAGAGCTGACTAATGGAGGCACGCTCCCACACCAGGCTTACCAGAGGGCTGTGTTGAGGGGATTAGCTCAGGCAGGAGAAAAAGCTGGTATGTGTGTGTGAGGAGGAGGGCGGGGAGTGGAAATACAGGGAGAAAGGTAACTAGAGTAGTAGGGAGGTAAATGGGGGTAGGGTCCACAGACTGCATTATTTGCAGCAATGTAGCCAGGTAGCCTCAGTGGGGCTCAAACAAGGAATAGCTAGCATCTGGATGGGCTAACAGGTATTCCTGAGCAGCCTGCACCAATGTGAGTGGGGGATAATGATAGAGCAGGAAAGGGAGTAGAGAGGGCTGTGAACCTAGCTACAAGGAGGGTGGGAGGTGACCTGGTGCAGTATGGGCATATGGGATGGTGGCTGCCTTCTCTAGAGCCTTGGATGGAGTGCCAGTCTATCCTGGGTGGCCACTCTGAACCGTGGTGGGGTGCTATTTACATTCTAGTCATGCTCAAGGGCTGCTGCCCACTTCACATCCCTGGAGTTTCTCCTGGGAGCCCTGTGGAATATTGGAATAGCTCATCTTCCAATGCCTACTCATATGCCCCCTCTAGGCCAGCTTCTAATCCTGGCTCTCACTTAAATTTAGAATTATGTTCCTTCTGGGAGATTGTACAGCAGCATGCACGCTGGAAGAAGAGCATAGCTTCAGAGCCAGAGGGAGCTGGGGCCAGGCCTTAGCTCTCCTGTCCTAGCTGTGTGACCTTGGGCTGGTCATTTTGCTTCTGATCTTCAGTCTGTGAAATATGTGAAATGGGGTTATATGTACCATGAGAAGTTGTGAAGGTTAGAAATAATGTAAATAACATGCCTACTTCAATGCCTGAAACATAGAAGAGGCAAAATAAATGGTAGCTGTTATTAATTCCTTCCCAGGGTGAGAATCCCATCTGTGGCCTCCTTGGTGGAAAGGAGCCAACAGCTACTTGCACTGCCCCAGGGATGGGGGAGCTCACCCCCTCTAGGGGCAGCTCTGCCTGGAAAACCTTCCTTAGATGCAGCTGAGACCTGTCCCAGTTCTGTCTCTGGGGCCATAATGCATGCTGCTCTGTGGCCACAGGACAGCCTCTGTGGCATTACCTCAAAGAATCTCAAGAGATTTTACATCTGGTAACAGTGCTTATCTGCACTGCAGGAGCAAGGCTCTGGAAGTTCCCAGCCTCATTCAAAGGAGTACGTTTTAAGTCAGGCTTACCTAAATCATAGAAATCCCTTCCCCATCTCTGTAGAGTTAGGAATATATGGATTGTATTCTCCTGAGTCTGCTTTTTTTCCTGGGTGAACTCTCTCATTTCCTTTGAACAAGAGGCAAATGGGAGAACTGGATTCTGGTCCCAAATCCATCACTTCAGGGCAAATTACTTATCTTCACTGAGTCTCCAGTTCCTCATTTGTAAAATGAATAAAATAACAGTCTCACAGGATTATAGGGAAGATAAGCTCAGAAAAGTAATAGGAAAGTTTGGAGTTTGGGAAAGTCACTTAGTAAATGTTAAACACATTTAAAACAAAAAAACAAACACATTTTTGAAAAAGCAGTTAGCAGGTCATCTGGTGTTGCCCCTTAGCTTTTTATCATACCTCCAAAGGAAGTCATCCCAGAAAGCCTATGCCGTTCCTGGTTTTAGAATAATGGCAGATCAGGTGGAGGATGCCCCCCTAACTCCACAAAATAGAGCCCCAGGGTTGTACTTCATCTGTGAAGAGCCTACTAAGTTCCAGGCTCATTCACTTACTTTATTCCATAGTTGGGGACCAAGACCTAGAAAAGGCCCGGCTTATCAATGGTAGAGGCTGGATCCCAAAGCTCCCAACATCTAGCAATTTTATACTCCTAGTCCTCACCTCCAGAAAAGAGGTGAAGGGAGGATCATCTCTGGGCCAGACTAGTTGCACCCAGGACTAAGATCCCGCAGATCTTTGTTAAGCACCTTCTGTGTGCATGACACCGCATCTGGGGAAGCACTGTTACCCCTCCCCCACTCCCCCTCCAGCATTCATGGAATGGCTGGTCTGGAACTCAGCCTTGCTGAAGGCTGAGGCAGATTCTGTCTTGCTAACCTCTGTATCCCGTGTCTGGCACAAGGCTTGGCACAAAGCAGGATCTTAGCAAATATCTTTTGAATGAATGATGAATCTGTAAGCATTTATTGAACACTGACTATGTACCAGGCCCCGTGGTAGAAGAAATTCTATTTAATACAACAAGCCTGCAGCGCTGGTATTATATCCCCATTTTACATGTGAGAAAGGCCGAAAGCAGTGAAACTGATTAGCTCAAGGCCTCACAATGAATTGGTGCTGAAGCTGAGATTGGAGCTCAGCCTGGCTACCTCAGGCCTGAGCTCTAACTGCTTGCTGCCCCACAGCTGTCAGGGAGCTGGGACTCCGCCCACCTGTTCCATTGCCCCAGGCCTTCCCTGATAAGTGATTGAGGACTCTGGTGAAGGGCTGACTTTTGAATAACCTCAAGGAAACTAGAAAACACAAGCCTGATCTCCTAGTTCCTACACAATCTGACTCATGCATAGCTCTGATTCTATCACCTTCCTGTACAAGAATCTAGGTAATTCAGTGTGAACAACCTGGATTCAAGTTCCATCTTCCCAATTTCTGGCCACTTGTGGCCTCGGGCAATATACTTGGGTCTCTCCAAGCCTCAGGCACTTTCCTCTTTTGCCTGACTACACTTCTGAGAAACAGGTGTCTGGGACCCCAACTTCTGATGAAACCGTGGGGCGATCTAGTTCACACACATCTGTGTGTGATCCGGAAGAGGTATTTTCATTCTCTTAAGGACCTCAAGAGAGGCTGATACCCCTACCCCCAGATGGTCTGGACAGGGCAGGAACGTGGGTGAACGGGGCTGCCTGGATGAACAGCCTCCCTGACAGATGAGGAAGGCAGAGCTTACCCAGCCAGTCAGAGGCAGACAGAGTGGACTGACACCCAGAGGTCCTGACTACCCAAACGAGCTTCTTCCTTTGCCCCTGCTGCCTCCGCTACTTTTCCTCATGGTTATCACCTGCACCTTTTTTTCAATGACCCATAGAACCCTTCGTGACCCAGAGAGTCCAGTCTTGCTGTGTGACCTACTAAAAGTCTCTCCTCTTCTATGGGCACTAGCCTCCCCATTTGTGAATTGGGGTCCTGGTCTTAACGACCTCACGGTTCCCTTCAAGCAGAGTCCGTGCTCTTTGACGTGAATGCCCTGTAGCAGAGAGCCGTTTTCTTCTTTGCAGGGCAACTAGACATCGCCCTGCCCCGCCCCCGCAGTAGTCAGGCACCTGTGGCCGGCTGAGGAAGAACTTGTCCCGCACGCTTGCCTCTCTGGCCAGCGCATTCGCTCGCCAGAGAGGGGTGTTGGAAGACCGAAAAGAAGTAAAAAACGGAACTCCCCTACTGCCACAGGCATACTACCCTCCGCGCCACTGTAAAAACTTCATTCTGAGAGTCGTCCCCTTACACACACAGAGACACACATACACACAGAAACACTGCAGCCCAGAAGCCGGCAGGACGCGGGGGCGGCTTGTGCGCGTGCGTCGGCGCAGAGCCCTCTCCCGCCCACGTGCGCGGCCCCGATCGGAGGCGCGCGCCCGGTCGCCTGGCGGGAAAGCGCGCGTGAAGCCCCCGGCTGGCTCTCGGTGTGGGGGAGGGAGGACAGGAGGCGTTTGGAACGTGCCACTCTCGGAGACAACGGGGGGATATCCGTGCTTCACTAGCGTTTCTACCCCTCCTATTCGCCGACCGATCCGTTAGTTCCCCCACGTCCCCCGCCGAGATCCGAAACCCCGCGCCGCGGCCAAGCTCCCTCCCTACAGCGTGGCCCGGCCCCTGGAACCCGGCTCTGGACTGAGTTGTCCCTTCTGCAGCCGGAGCGGGGCGCTGCGCCACACGGTGGGGCCGGAAATTCCCGCGGCCCGAGTGGAGGAGCCGAAGCCGAGAGCGCGGCACCGCCTTCCACCTCCCCGGGCCGGGCGGGGGCGTCGGGCCCAGCGAGGGCTGGGCTGGGCTGCTTGAGTGGGGGCGGGGGGCCGCGTCTGCGAGGAGCTGCGGCGCGGGCGGGCGGGGAGCGAGACGACGCTGCTGCTCGAGAGCCGCTCGGCGAGCTAGGAGACCCTGCGCCCCGGCTCCTGGGCCCCCGCCCCCTCGCTGTCTCCGCCTCCTTCCCTCACACACCCCCGGGCCGCCGGAGCCCCAGGCCTTCCCGGCGCTCCTGCTCCTTCTCTTCACATTCGCCCTCCGACCCGGTCCTCCAGCCGCCCGCCGGCCTTGCTTTGCTCCCTGCCGGGCGAGTCCTCGTTCTCAGACTCTCCTTACACACACACACACACACACACACACACACACACACGCTTGCCGAGCCGCCACTCCTCACGGCCCCCCATCTCCTCGTCCTAGCTGACGCCGCCGTCGGGGGAGGATTGATGTCCCTTCAGCATCATGCAGCCGCCGCCGAGGAAGGTGAGGGTGCAGCTGGGGGGCTTTGGGGTTTGGGAGGGATGTGTACAAGGGACGCGGCTGGGGCGCCCCCTCCCCCTTTCCGCAAGGGGCCGTGACCGCCGTCGCCTCGGGCTTGTCACTGAGTTGCCGCCGGCTCCAGGCGAGGGCCACGCGAATGGGGTGTCTTTCCGACGAAGGGGCGGCCCGGGCTCGTCCCCTCCACCGCACGGGAGACCCCTAGACCTTTCACAAGAGTTTCGCGTGTGCATTTGTGTGTGTGCGCGCGCATGGCAGTGCTGCTCGCTGCAAAGTGCATTCTCGGGGCTGCACCGAGGGGAGGCGGGGAGCCCCTGCAGCTTTGCAGAGCCTGTGCTTGTGTGATTGTTTAGTCTGCGCCAGGTTTGAGCCCTCCAGCAGCTTGTCGCCACCCTCGCCCATTTGATAATTTTCAGGGAATTTGTTTCCAGCCTAGCCGTAAGGTTCGGCCTGCATTTCCCACGGGGCGGCCGAAAAGAAGTTGGACTAGTCACCGCCCCCCACCCCAGGGGAAAACAAATTGAGCCTTTCTCCCCCCACACCCAATCGTGTCCCGCCCCTCCAGCTAGGGGGCCGGGAGGCGGTGGTGCTGCCCCCGGAGAGCGAGAACCGGGCAGTGTGTGGCGTGTGCACCGCGATCTGGGCTTGGGGTGGGAGTGACGGGTGCTCTCGGCGTGTCAGCGGCTCCCCCCTGCGCCCTTCGAGAACTGTTTCACTGCCCTCTTCCCCAGCGTTCCCAAGGGCTGAGGCTGTGTCCTTGTCTTTTTAATCCTGCAGATGGTTACTGTCTACTCAGGGCATTGGGTGGAGAAGGCTGTTCTGTCCTCCCCTCGTGGGCAAACATTTGACGAATGCCTAACTCGCTCGTGTCTGCTGCTTCTTTTTCTCTTTCTTAATCCGGGTTTCTCCAGTTAAGTGACTCTTTTCTTTCACACATGTGCCCCCACCCCTCCGAGTTAGCCCGGCTCCGCGGCGGCGGGGATTCCAGGCCCACTGTAACCTGGAACCCTGGGGTCCAGGCCTGGCTGGCGAGGCACAGGACAGCTTGCATTTGCTGTTCTGTTTGAAGTGGAGCCGCCACGGGGACCGGCTTGCTGGGGTAGCTTAAAAGCACTGCACATGCTGGAAGGTCACTTTTGCTTTCTCCTTTGTGAGAAAGAGATTGTGATTTGATGCGCTGTCAGCGAGTTGGCATCATCCTGAGACACTGTGCTTTCTCGCAGCCATTATGGAATAATTTATGTAGTCAATTTATGCATATGATTTCATGATTGTGTAAATTTTGGCCATTATACATTAGGCATTCCTATAGTCACTTCTGCCATCTATACTCAGCTCACTTCTCCTGGTGGTTAAAATCTTTGAATCTTTTTTGGAAGAAATAGAAGACAGACTCTTCAAACTCTAAGAAGACCTACTACATTATGTGCCGAGCTTGTGCATGAAAAGGAATGACTGGCAGTTTATTTTGCACCTCCTTAATCTGTAATTTTTATACTCTTTTACTTTCATTTAACCTCTTTCAGGATATTTGGCTAGATTTCTTATTAAGTGTCCTCAGTAAACAAAATTAGGTGGCTAATAATGGATTTATGGCCTTTAGGGGAGAAGTGAGCAAGAGGTATATATTCTGACGGGTATTAAGTATTTTGCTTAAGTACTTTGTTGTTAAAGTTGCAGTATGGCCTTCATAATATATGGTATATTTTAGGTGAAAGTTACACAAGAACTGAAGAACACTCAAGTTGAGCAGATGACAAAACTTCAAGCCAAACATCAAGCAGAATGTGATTTACTTGAAGATATGAGGTAAGGTTATAGTAAATAGTTTGAGAACTTTTATATCTTTGTTTCAAAGAACCATTGAATTACCAAGCCCCAGGAACTGATGATGGAATTTCCTTTTGGATTTCCTGCTTTAAGGCTGTTAGAGCTTTGACTCAGCTAGAAATTATAACTGGAACTAACGCAATACAAACTTTTTTTTTTCCTTTAGTGGCGGGACCTATAACCTACATATACTATCATGAAAAAACAAGGATCTTAAAAATTTATTAGTCAAATTATAATCATTAAAGTAGAAATTCTTATTTAAATAATCTTTCCATTGAATTGTAACATTTACTGACCTTAGTGATTTCACAGAGATTTTTAAACTGACACCTCTGGTTAATGGTTAATATCTGGGGGTGAACCTGTCAACCTCAGATGATTGCACACTAGCACTATTTGTTAGAACATGACAAATATAATTTTCTCTTTGAACATTAAATTTAGTGCGAAATGTGTATCATATTTTTTCATTAAAGTTACCTGTATTCGTAAGCATTGTGAAAATCAGTATCTTTATAGAGGGAAGCATGACTCATTTTATTGAAAGAGACACCACTGTTTTAACAATCCTGTAATACAAATTGACAGCTCAACAAACATATTTTTATAAAGGATGGAAGATAATTTGCATGTTGAAACAGAGTGGCTACAATTCTTTTTTTTTTTTTTTAAGATTTTATTTATTTATTTGACAGAGAGAAGGAACACAAGCAGGGGGAGTGGGAGAGGGAGAAGCAGGCTTCCTGCAGAGCAGGGAGCCTCATGTGGGACTCGACCCCAGGAACCTGGGATCATGACCTGAGCTGAAGGCAAATGCTTAACGACTGAGCCACCCAGGTGCCCGAGTGGCTACAATTCTTAATTCTCTTTAGTAACACATTTATCATATTGGAGTTGGGTCTGTAAGCTCTGTCAGTTGCCTGTTTTCTCCTGTGGTGCATGACCTCATGTTGATTTCATGAAAAATATGAACTGTGTGTTGTTATAATAAAATTATGTGTTTGGGTAGCCGAATTGTTTGGAGCCCAAAGATTTTAATTTAAAGAGTTCCTTTTTTCCTGCCCCATATTTAATTTAGGTACTATTTGTGACTATTTCTACTGTCTACTTCTAACTAGGACATATATATTTAGTCTTATCCAAAGTTGGAAATACCAAGATCATTGTTTTCTCACCGGGAAGTATTCTATTTTAATTCTGCATTTGTTTCTTTTTGTTTTTCATGTGGCCACAGGGGAATTTTTAGACTTAAATAATTCCTGTGCAAAATACCTGGAATTCTTCATAAGGTTAAAAATGAAAAGTTTTAAACATCTATTAAGTGAAATAAGGTATTTTAGTAGAAATCTCTAAGTGAAGAAAGTAATAAATTTTCAGAAGCAGTTTAGAAAGGCCAACTTAGTGTGTAAGTGAAAATTCCCTGTGGGGTATGGAAGGTCAGTGGTCATTAAGTCCTGTGATTATATCTTCTAAAGACTTGTTTACATTCTTTTCTTTTTTTCCCCTATTGCCTATACCTTGGTACCTGAGCTTATGGTCAAGGATAGGGACACACAGTCACTGCTAAGTTGATGTAGGTTGTTCTGCTTCTGTTATTTAGTTGTTTGTATTATTGCCGACCCCATCACTTTTCACTTGCGTTATTGCAATAATATCCTAACTGTTGCAGTAGTGTTCTCATATCTCCTACCCCTCAATCTCTTCTTTTAAGTCTGTCTTCCACATTGTCACCAGTTAGCTTTCTTTCCTTTTCTTGTCTTTTTTAAAGATTTTATTTATTTGATCGAGAGAGAGCACACGCAGGAGCACGGGGGAGGAGCAGAGGAAGAGGGAGAAGTTGAGCAGGGAGTCTGGACTTGATCTCAGGACCCTGAGATCATGACCTGAGCTGAAGGCAGATGCTTCACCGACTGAGCCACCCAGGCGCCCCACCAGTTAGCTTTCTAAAAACATTGTTTATGGGGTGGCTCAGTTGGTGAAGCGGCTGCCTTTGGCTCAGGTCATGATCTCGGGGTCCTGGGATCGAGCCCCACATTGGGCTCCCTGCTCATAGGGGAGCCTGCTTCTCCCTCTCCCTCTGCTTGCAGCCCCCCGCTTGTGCTCTCTCTCTCACTCTCTCTGTGTCAAATAAATAAATAAAATCTTAAAAAAAAATATTGTTTATTATATACTGCGTTCTCTATGGCCTTCTAGATAAAGACTACACATCTTGTTGTAGCTTATATGGCCCTCTGCATCCTAGCCACAAGCTTCCTTTCCTGGTGTAATTACTGCCATTTCATGCTTATTCATCCTTCCTTCTTATTCCCTTTGCCCTGGCCACTCAGGACTTCTAGTTATCTAATTGTGCTCTGTACATTCATGCCTTTATATGTGCTGTTCTCTTTGCCTGCTGATATCCTTCCTCCCACTTTGTCACCTGGCAAATTAATGGTTGCCACTAAGTTTGCAAGTTGTTGTTCACTGTGATCTCAGAGGATTTTGATTTTGCACATGCTTTTGGCTTCCCCCTTCATGTGAATTCCTTGAAGTCAGGGGGTAAGTCTTAATTCGTTTTTGTGTCTTTGTACCCTTTGTTTAGGCTGGCAGAATTGTTAAATGAATGTAACTGGTTATATTTAAATGCACCTTACTTGTTTTTAGGGGAAATGTTTTATTGCTCTGTTTGTAGGGGGCTAGAGTGGTGTCTGTTTGGCTTGTGTTATACTTTGATTCATGTGGGTACTTTAAGATGTACCGTGCTAGGGGCGCTTGGGTGGCTCAGATGGTTAAGCATCTGCCTTCGGCTCAGGTCATGATCCCAGGGTCCTGGGATTGAGCCCCGCATCGAGCCCCGCATCGAGCCCCGCATCGAGCCCCGCATCGGGCTCCTGGCTCGGCGGGGAGCCTGCTTCTCCCTCTCCCTCTGCCTCTCCCCCTGCTCATGCTCTCTCTCTCTCTCTATCTCTGTGTCTCAAATGAATTAAAAAAAAAATCTTTAAAAAAAACCAACGTACTGTGCTATTTGATGTTGAATATATTTATATTTACATATAATATATAAATACATAGATTGTTGGTGTTCCAAAATTAGTACATTCTTTATTCGAATGATGTATGTTCTTCTTTTATATTAAATTATTGGAATGAATCCCTTCACTCCTATGTAGTTGTGAGCAGAATACTATATTACCTCCTAAAAGGTGAGTTTAGATTTCTGATTTTTGTTTTTCAATGATAATACTGAATTGGAAGTTGAAAATTGCATACTTTTGATATTCGTAATAACTTTAGTTGCTTGAGGAAGGGGGTAGTCTGGCTTTTCTGGTCTGTCCTAGCAAGTAGAACAACATTTAAAAATTCATCAGAAGTCTCTGAACTTGAGTTTTTATATGTATTATATTGTAAAAGATCTTGCTTGCTGCTTTTCCTTTTTTTTTTTTTTTTTTTTCAAGTAATCTCTTCCCCCAACGTGATACTTGAACTCACAACCTGGAAATCAAGAGTTGCATGCTATAGGGACTGAGCCAGCCAGGTGCCTCTGCTTTTCTTTTTTTGAGGTTCCCATCACCCTCCTCCCCAAAACCCCACAAATAGTAGTCCTTCTCACCGATGCCCCAACCAGTATTATGCTCTATTTAAGTTAGTGTGAATTCACTCAAAAAAAGTGCAAATAGCTTCTCTTAAGATAAAGAAATTGTTAGTAGGCAGAGAATAATTTTTACGACTTTAAAAAGAGGGAAAAACTAAAAGACCACAATAATTATTAAGCTGTAAGTAGGAGATGTAATGGGAGATGTAGTGTATTAAGCTGTAAATAAGAGAATTTCATGCTGGGTTATGGCTAGTTTCCACTCCCTTCCCCCCTTTTCATCTTGTGGAATTTTGAAGGGAGGAAACCAATTATGATACAGTATTTTTCCTTTGCTCTCCCCCCCTTCAGTTCGTTTGTTCCAGGGATGTATTTGGAAGCTGGTGTGTTGGGAGTAAAATATGAGAAGGAAAGATAATTAATTTGTTGTTAATCAGGGACATTCCATGCTTTGGGGAGATTTTATACTGAAGTGTTTCCTGTTGACTTTTGCTTAGACAAGCAAACTTTACTTTCTTTTTAGTTTATTATTACTATTTTTTCTCTCTTTGCTTTCTAAGACAACTTATAAGTTTCTAAATACTACAGCCTATGTATTATTTATTAATACTATATATTTAGCATTGTTTATTCTCATGATATACTAAGTAGAGTCAATAAAGAAAGTTCTTTGCAGGAATCCTCAACATAAAGAACTACCTTCTTAGCAGACATTTTTAGGTCATTATATAACATGGAAAAACCATAGAATTTTAGAGTCTGTTGAACACTGTCATATTTGTCAATGAAAATGGAAACTGAGGCACAGTGAGATGAAGTGAATCATATTGAGAAAAAATGCTAAGCTATATCTCTAATTTCTAGACTAGTGCACTATCCTGTTTCTCTGTATTATCCAAGCTTTTAATCAAGGAAATCATCATAAGTCCCATTTCTTGAAACATTTTGCCTATCAAAAAGCACATTTTAACTAATAATTTTTCTTATTTTTTACTTTTCATACATCAAACTGTCAATCAGCTTTGAATCATTATTTTAAAACTACTAACATGAATCCAGACAAAGGCAAAGATACTTGAAACTTTACGTCGGAGAAGTCTGAGTGTATGGTTCCTCACAGATGTTCTGAAAAATGGAAACTGGCTTAAGAAGCACCTGTCCTTTCTTTGTAGACACCTGGAGGTCTAGTAACCTCAAGTGAGGAAATTACTGTAATATATGATACCTTCTCTAAACTGTAGGTTTGTGGGACTCACTGGGGATTGGATTCTTTTTTTTTTTTTTTTTTTTTTTAAAGATTTTATTTATTTATTTGAGAGAGAGAGAAAGAGCGAGAGAAAGAGCATGAGGGGGCTAGTCAGAGGGAGAAGCAGACTCCCTTGCCGAGCAGGGAGCCCGATGCGGG